AGAATAGGCAAATCCACAGAAACAGAAAGCAGATGAGTTTCCCAGGGCTGAGGAGGAGAGAGTGGAGTACCCAGTTTCTTTTGGGGGGGGGGCTGAAAATGTTCTGGAGCTACATAGTGGCTGGCAGTGGTTACACAACTTGGTGAATGTACTGGAAACCACCGGATTGTACATATGGTAAATTTTATGTTATATGAATTTTACTTCAATTTCTTTAGGTTAAACAAAGTAACAAAAGGCTAAACAGTTGGCAAAGACCCAGCAAACCTGACATTGGGTTATTTTCAAAACCCAGTTCTTTGGTAAAGCAAACCAAGTTGCCATAGAAACTCTGCCTTACCAGGAGCAGCTCCCTAGTTCTCAAGTCCCGCATCTTGCCTTACTGACATCAATTAATAGAGTTCCTGGTGTCGGCCCTAATCATCATGCAGACAGATAAAATTTAGTTAATATCCTTTACTCCCTCCCCAATGCTGAAAAATAAGATAAATAGAATCTATCTCCATAATTTTCCGTAGTCGTTTATTTCAGTAGCATCTGTTTATGATGATTTACAAGAATTTGGCTGGCAACAAGAGTTGCAGGAAGCATGTGCATAAAGGAATTTTATTTACATATTTTTCCTCCTTCAGCTCTATAGATACTGAAAATGGTCATGTCTTAGAAATGCAGGCTAGCTCCAGTGGTGATGATTGCTTTTTAAAAAGCCATACTGGATGGTCTCCAAGAAGTGAGAAACATTTACAGCTATTTAATTTGGGAGACAAACTTGAGGATCAGCCTATAAAAGAACGTGTAATCAAATAAAAATAAGAGAAAACTGAAATACTGGTTCCCGCTCATATGAGATTTCGGCTTCCTTAGCACAAGCTCACAGAACAGTCTGTCCTTGGGTATTTGAGTAGGAGAGAAAACCACTCTCCACAATATCTTTTCCTCTGAAATGTTACAGCTTAGTTCCATGTTCATATATGTGAGTCTATCTCATCATTCTTGGTATGATCATTTAACTATGAATATCTCTCCCATATACTGTATATAGTTAAATTTTTTTTTTAAAAAAAGGCATAATAGCCCTAACCGGTTTGGCTCAGTGGATAGAGCGTCGGCCTGTGGACTCAAGGGTCCCAGGTTCAATTCTGGTCAAGGGCATGTACCTTGGTTGCGGGCACATACCCAGTAGGGAGTGTGCAGGAGGCAGCTGATTGATGTTTCTCTCGCATCGATGTTTCTAACTCTCTATTTCTCTCCCTTTCTCTCTGTAAAAAATCAATAAAATATATTTAAAAAAAAAAGGCATAATATGTAGTGATATGCAATATGTAGTGATGCTGCCATTTATCTGAGAAGGCAAGAGGAGGGTACAAATATATACTCATATTTGGTTATAGTTTTGAAAATCAGAGTATAAGTCATAAAACCTTTTAAATGTTTACCTATAGAGGGGGAGAAGGATCAGGGTGGAAGGACGGAGATATCATCCAGACTTCTCTAAAAACATCTTATCTGTAAGCTTGACTACATCGTGCTAAGTGAAAGAAACCAGACACAAAAGCCACATATTGTATATTCCCAAATGTCCAGAATAGGCAAATCCATAGAAACAGAAACATGTAACTGTTTTACATCCATATAAAACAAATTAAATTCTAATTATTTTTTTTAAAAAGCAGCCTTTAAAATCAAATGCAAAATAAAACAAATGAACCTAACAACGTATCAAAGAAAGGTTACAGCTCAGGAAATAATGCTTCCAATGTTGGGATTCCATCATAATGTTAGTTTTCTCTACCAAAATTTCAGGAATTTTCCTACACAGGATACTCAACTTGTCTTTTGCTAAATATTTAATAAATATTTGTTGAGTGTCTACTACATGATAAGGGTATTTGGATCAAAGATGGTCTACAGAGGGAAATAAATTAAATGAACTATGGGTGGCAGGTATTATGTGTCATGATCTAGGTATGTAGCCAGATCTATCAGAAATCCTCACAAGAGTGTTTGGTTCTAATATCTCTTTTCTTGGGCTAGGAGAGCATGCATGGGCTCTTGAGTCTTCAGAAATTACTCAACCTTGTTGAGTCACCTCATCTCTAAAGTGCCTGCTATGAAGAACTAACATACTGTGCTGAGCACTGAGCCTGGTGCCTAGGAGGTGCCCAGCTGACTCTTGTTTGCCTCCTTTGGCAAATATTCATAATGTTGGATTGAGCACTGCTGCAATCATGCATGATCAGCAGGTACTGTCATCTGACAATGAACACTTGCAACAAATTCAAGTCAGGGGATTACATAAAAATGTTTATTTGGCCAGCTATGCAGATTTGCAGTCTTACAGGTTGAGCCCACCTGCAGAGAGCCATGCCTCCATTTTGGTTTCTAGTTAAGCAGCTCTCCTCCTCTCCCTCCATCCTTGGACTGCACCCAAGTTCACCTGAGCAGCTTAGGTCTATAGATCAGCCCCACACTCTGCAAAATCCCAATCTCCTACTTTCCTTCATCCTGGTAACTGAGTTATTGCACTTTCTAGAAATTTATTTTAACCCAAGATTCAGGCACAACAATATTCATTACAGCATTACTCATAATAGCATGTGATTGTTTATAATCCAGATATCCCAAGATTGGAAATTATTTAAGTAA